CGCGCTCGGAGGTTAAGAAAGTTGAAAGCTACTTACTCAATCTCGATGAAATATTTTTTTTATAATCCTTACATAACTATTTTGTGTTGCTTTTAGGAAGGCGACATTGATCTGGTGAATGATTGTAAAAAAATCAAAAAATGATTATAGATATCACGTATAGTACCAATATGATATTTCATCAACTGTTTATATAATGAATATCAAAAATATGTATTTTTGATGTTAATTGTTGAGTGTAATATTCTATATAAAATTCTTGGTATCCAAATATCAAGAAGAATCGTTGTTTGTTCAGTCATTATGTTCAAATTATTGTTAATTGTATCACTTCATCAAGATGACGATGAGACATAATAATCAATGCTTGCAAATAATATCTAAGAAGTGTATCTATCTATAAATTATATAATGAAGATTTGAGTTGCTAATTTGTTTCAGTTGAATCAATATCAAGTAAAATTTACAATACAGTCTCATGATATTCATTGGCACAATCTTTGTTCTTAGTACCAACACACCGTGTCAGAAGATTTATATATATATCAGAGTGAGAATAGCAAATAAACATTGTACACTAACTTCATCTTGTAGAGCAGTATCTCCTTCATACTCAAAGTCTGCATGTCATGAAGACTAATATGATTTGCATACATATATCCATAATCTAATCTTTTAATCATAAACATTTACTCTTGAAAATATGTTTCTTCGCTCATACATCGTTTATATTCAGTGATATTTGAACGTAAAATTGATGGAATTGAGTGTGTGGTCATACCAGTTATTGAATAAGCACGACAAGTTGGACTACAAAGCATTAGATTGTGCAATAATATTTTATCCAAGTAATTAAGTACAGATTTTCATGTTTCTGAATAAAGTTTGAGCAGAGTATATATCTTTATTGATATATAATAGAGATTTTGACATTTATGAGAATTTCTGTATGAAATGGAAATTTATGTTTGGCTTCATTGATTAAATCAACTTCAGTTAAATGAAAACTGTGCAGAACTTCCGACTCTTTTCTTTTTCTTAACTATCTATTTTTCTTTTATTATTACGAAGATAATGCAGAAAAAAAAATGTAAATTATTACTACCGTTTACCATTTGTGATTTTCCCTTTGCATATGATGCAATAAAGAATTTCATGAGCAATATAGAAAGAGAAAACGTGCACTTCTCAATCATCGTTTTATTATTTATTTCTGCCTACTATAGATATATTTTTGATCAAAATAAGTCACATTGTTAGACTCCCTTAACGTATTTATCGATATATTCAATGTTATACTCACTAATACCACACACTACTCACACATGTACAGATCTTGTAACACAGATGTGTCCGAGTCATTTTTGTAGCAATGTTTTCGGTCGATTTTCAGCTATTAGAATCCGATCAATCAACGAAAGCAATTATATACTATTTATCCTGGTGCTGTTCGTTATGCTCTCTTATTTTATTAAAAATAGAAGAGTATAAATAATATTTTTCAAATATGAAAAGCTTCGTAGTACATTCAAGATATTGGCAATTTAAGTTTCATTCAGGCTTTAGAAAAACCAAATGGTCCTGTTACCGACTCACATAAGACAATCCAAAATGCTCGTAAGACAAATACTACAATATCTAACAAAAAAATCTGCCGTCTAACGCTAACTGGATAATCATCATAAGTAATAAAATCCTCTTTTTATGTGTGAGACTTCCTTTACTAGTTTGGGTCGAGTGAGAGTAAAGAAAGCTTTGAATGATTCGTCTTCTTGATCTTTTCTTTTCTATCTAAACTAAATTTCCTAAATTTATTACCTATATCAAGGTATATTATAAAAACTCGAACTTTGAAAATCTGATTTGGAATTTTTTTCACGTCGAGTTTCCAGTACTAATACAATGTCCTTAGAGTCTTATCGAACAGGGATGCTTTCATCTCGAGATAAAAGATTCTTCATAGATAACACCTTTACTGAGTATTGAAAAAACCCAGCTTTTTAAAGCACTTAATATCTTCAGCTGAAAACAGACATTTTCAAGAGAAAGATTCGTTCAGATATATGCATTGTAAACTTTGTCTATTCTCGATAAGTTCAATACAATTAAAAAAGTCTTATCTAAAAAGATTTTTGCTTTTCAGAAATATTATAGCGGTATAAATATGAGAAAATAGTTTTTTCAGTTACTGTTAGGCGCGATGGGATTTCTCGTTAAAAAGACTTTCTGCTGTGGCCGTTTCCGGCACTATTTTGAGACTACCGCCTCGTTTTTTTAGATGCAATACAGATCCTTCTTGTGGAAAAAAAAATAATTAACAAGTTGAAATATCATAAATTTATATTTTCTTTAATTTTTTATTTAGCCGATGACGTCATTATTAATCTTTAATGCTGCATTCATTATGAATTTTTTTTCCTAACCTTTGCATTTTACTATGTTCATTCTTTTCTGTTTGTATTGGCAACAAAAATGAACTCAAAACAAATTGAAATTGAATTGATTATTCTCTCTCCATGATTTCATTTGTCACATATTTTTTCCTCTCTTATTTTATACTTCATATGTATTGTGGACATACTACGAAACTAACTAAATTCATAATTACATGTACTTCTTTCTTCATATAGATTTTCTAATGAAAAAAAAATCATGAACTTAACTTGTCAGCATTGTTTTTCAGTCACAGTACTCGTTTAAATTTGAATTACGTAGTAATAGTCATAAACAGAAAGCAAATTCTTCAATTAAACTTACTGTTTATTCAATGTTGAATCTTGTTTCTGTCCTTGTCGACTTAATGACTTTTTCTTCTTTGAATTATTTTCTATCTGATACCAACCGACTATAATTAGGCTCGAGTATCGATCAATATATCTCTACTCATTTTGGTCAATATTTTCTGTATCATAGCTTCTAAAATTATCATTCAAATCAATGATTGAATATAAAGGGACATTCTTTGATTGCTGTCATACTTAATAGGCATGCACCGAACCCAGGTACAGACTGGGAATCCCGGGTTCGGTATTCCCGGGGTTCGGTCGCTCCCGGGTTCGATCATTCCCGGTACCTGGAATGCTGGATTTAGTTATTTATTTATTTGGGTCATTGCTAGACACTCGGAGAAGCCAGGAGCATACCGGGAATACCGAGTCCGGACTTCCCGGAGTTCGATCATACCTGGCTTCTAAGGATGCCTAATACAGACCAAAGTACATGAATCACTAAATCTAATGTTTTAGGTACCGGGAACGGCCTAACCCGGGAAGTTCGGGTACGGTGCATGCCTAATACCTACATCTTTTTATCAATATTCGGCATCTTATACTATAAGTATATTCTTCTAGTTTTCTATGGTTTTTGTCGAGTTGTCTATTCAACACAATCATGACATCATCTATCATGCCATGATTTTTATATATTTATTCCTAAACTATTGATATTAGTATTCATTAGTATATTACTAATGTCTTTTGATTTTGATTATCTTCATTTCCTTGTCAATAAGTTTTATAGCTTTTCATAAGATAATGTATTTAAAATATAATGATATTCAGTATATATCCTACGGTGTCATTTATAAATTCTACACTTAAATCATTTAGAAACTATTTCAATAAAATGATTATATCAAAAATGTCATCGACAAAACATAGCTGTTTTTTGTCGTATATTTTTTAATACGATTGTTTTCAGTATGTTGTCGATCTCATAAATGATCTTAATGGTGATGTAGAATATTGAAGATCTATTCAAAAGATTTGCATATCGTAGAAGACAAATGTCATCATTATCATCGTTTGTCACTATTTTATTTTCTAGGATTTTTTTCATCGACAACTACGCAATTACAACAGACGCTGAGAAAAAACCAAGTTCTATTAATCAATAACTGAACTTGATTTTATCTGAAAAATTTTTCTAAAATGAATATTTTAAGATTTTTTATTCGTTTTGTTTTGCTGATTTATACAATTCATTTATTAATGTATCATCGAACAAGAATTAAACAATTATATACTTAAAAAAAACTACTTCCTATATTATTTTTCTTTAAATAAATATCTAAGTATTGATATTATTAATCATCATAATACTATTTTGTTTTTGTTTTAAACTGCACTAACTAAATATCTGATAAATCGAAGAAGAAACTTATCTATAAGGACGAGTAGTAATAGAAAATGATTCTATTGTCTTTTAAAAGCACAATAATTTGGTAGTCGAACAGTTGCTCACGGATGTAAATGTGAAAGTAATGGCTGTTTAGCGAGTACTTTTCCTTGACCCCGTAATTATATTCTTCATAAACAAAATAAAAAAAGATATTATGTCTGTCTTTTTGCTCCTTTTTTTAAAAAAACTGAGCTATATAGGACAATGAATAAAAAATAAAAAGAGTTTTTTGTCATATTTTTCTATGAATTAATTGATGCTTCTTTATTATGTCTTGTCGAATGAGAAATTGATGATTCTGATGTATTATTCATAAGAAATTCCAATGTATCAATAGTAAATAATTGTTTGAAATTTGGTTCTCGTGTTAGTATATTAACAATATTATCATCAAGTTTTTCTCCTTCTGTAATTTTTTGTGTTTCTTTTTCCAATAAATATTGTTTATAACCATAATTCATTTCAAATGGATCACCATCAAAATCTTCAATTAAACCACCTTCAATAGCTATACGAACATTAGTCAAAAATTCTTTTTCATCAGTTGCAATATTTGATGTTAAGGGATCATCAGGATTAGGTGAATGAAAAAGAAACATAAGACCTTGTAAAAGATCTTCAAATGTTGAATTAACTCCACCATCCCACTCATTTAATGTTGAAATACATACATTATTATAACAATTTCTATATGCTGTATCAATATTTGGATGATATATACGTGTTAAACAGGAAACAATTGGCTGGCACTCAGGATAATTATTTTCAGTGGAAGCTTCAATAAGAAAAGTAAATGAACCATGCGCATATGGACCATCACGTGGTGTTATTTCAATATAAAATGCTTGACTAGGATTAGATTCATCGGTATCTGACGAACAAGAGTCCGATAAAGAGGAAGCACGAGATACAGAATTTGAATTATTAAATATATTATCACAGCTAGCACGAGCTTGACCAGCGGATAATGAATCAATTTGGCGACATAATTGACGAAAATCTTTTTCAAATTGAGCCATTAGAAAATCTAAAATACAACAAAAAAACAAAATAAATTCGATCTTCAGAATAAATACTATCAATCTTAAGATTATTCAGAATCGTATAAATAATATTTCTAAAGAAGTAGGACATATAACCGACAGAACGAAATAAGTTCTTTGGAACCAACTATATCACAATCTACGTCAAAGAATTGTACGATATATTCAGGAAATTAAATAGAGTCGAGTGGGGTGATTCAATTATAATTTTTGATAGTTTATCTTCTTTCTTCTATAACTTTTTTATTTTTCATTGGATAAAAAAATTTTCGCTACCAAACATGTAGAGGAAACATTTTTCTACACAACCATGCTTTTAGTTTTTCAAAATACTGTTCCGGAACGGATCTACAGCGGTTTTTCTGAGAGCACCTCTGAGATAATTGATTTACCCCACGTGGGTTGAATCAATTATTCTGCTGACGCAATTGGGGTAATTCAATTATTCGATATATTTTTAGCTGGATCATGTAAAACCCAACTTTTAAAGACTCTGCAAGTCCAATTTTGAAAATTTTTACACAATCGGAAAGCCAAAATATTTTTCTAAAACCTGAAACTAATCCTGAGTATCTGGACTAAAATGGAACCGAACACAA